TCGAAGAAATTAAGTTGCCGGCGTTTCATCAGTCAAAAACAATCTTGAAGCTTAATACCCTACCTTGTGTTTGAATTTCCCTTCCTCGGTTTTCCTCGAACAAAGAACATATACCGCAAGGAAAAAAAGAAAAGAAGGAGAAATTTCCCCGTTTAGCACGAGAGCGGGAGGCTTTAAAAATGAATTAGGTCGGGATTGCGGAGGAACTTCGTGGTTTCCTTCGTGCAAACCTTCCCGACCAAAATTACTGTAGAACCTGCGAAAATTTGCATCAGCCTCCGTGAATTCTATGGTCGATCGGCTGAGATTGAATCGGAACGTTTGTCGGCAAACTTCTTTCCTATTTAAGAAGAAATGTGAACCAACGAACCGCTGATCAAATTTGCTCGGTAATTCAGCTACGACGTGTATATACAATTAAGACAATTCATTTCTTCTGGAGAGATGTTAACTTTGTGTTCAAAATTTTATGCCAACATTGGCTTTCTCGTTCGACATATTACTCTGAAATTCCTGAGTGTTAGAACAATTTTAATCCTGTTACAATTGCACGTTTTCTCTGTCACACACACACAAGAAGGTAGAAGAAATCACAATGTTTACCTCGCGATTTCAGTTTATAAACATCTGTTATTTTTTTTCATTCTTTCTTAGACGAGTGTTACTTTTTCATTAATTCATCCCCGTTACACATTTTCTCTTTCACAACAGAAAAATGCTTTAATGAAAATCCAAGGAAATTCTGTAGCAACGATATTTTTTTTTCTAATCAAATTTAACAATTCGTTCAAAATATCGATCCAAATAATAAAAATTCGGCACGTACTTATGTGACGACCTAATAGAACAAATCACGGTGTATGCTGTCGTCGCGATTTCAGCCTCTCGCTTCTCAAACATCAGATAACCGATTCACTCGTCAGAGTGCACAAAGTCGTTGCTCCATTCGTTATGGTAAATCATAATTGAAGGCCCAGATGCTAAGATCAAAGGGTCAAGAGCGAAGCTTTGATGAAGGGCCGTGTATCGACGCACTGAAGCCGATTACCATCCGGCCCGTTCCAACGCCGGCCCACTTAACGTAATTGCTAATCCCGCGAGAACATAGATCTCCGCGTGCCAACTTAATCCGTTTCCGATCTGCGGGAAGGGCTAGTGGAGACCGAGAGAACGAAAACGAGGGAGAGAGAGAGAGAGGTGGAGACTTTTGTCGGGCGCCGTTAAGATCTCGCGAACATCCACTTAATTATGATACGATCCCGAGCGGCTCGCGGCTATGGTATCCCAGCGTCGTCGCTTGAATTCATTTGCAACCGCATTTCCCTAGATCATCCTCGATGAAAAAGTTGTCGGTCCGTCTCTCTCTCTCTCTCCCTCTGGTCCTCCATCGAGACACTTTTCCGCTCACCCTTCTCTCCCCCACCTCTAACGACGGGGAAAAATTCTAATTAGGGAGGGAAGCGAATTTTTTTTACGACGAGTGGTTAAAACTTAACAAGGGGCTAGGAGATCCAGCGAATCAGCGGGAAGTATAGTACTTACTTTCGGACGAGTTGTTTGTGGTTTTGATCGTCCCCGTGCTGGTTTGAATTGTGAAATTTTTCTCACGGATCAAACGATCGTACGATATGTGATTCGAGGCTACTGAAAATACGTCGTGTGCTATATTTCTCTCGTTTTTAACCTGTACACGGAGGAATTGACACGTCGGTTAGCGATCGATATTCTGAACGCGATGATTGAATGTATTTGTGGCTGCTATGGACATAGAAACCTTAGTAGATGTTTAACCCTTTCGCGACTAGCGCCGGTTATATCCGGCATCCACTAAATGCTTCACACTGGCTAGCGCCGGTTATATCCGGCATCCACTACGCGCGTCGCATTGGCTCGCGCCTCGACAACTCAAAGTGAAGATTTATTTTAAAGTACAGAACAAGGCCTCGACAACATTCCCTTTATCCGATACACCCTTAAGTCTTCTGCTGTTCCAACGAAATCCTCTAAGATTTCACACGGACGCACTGGGAGCTCGAAAAACGCGAGACACTCATGGTGTGCACTAATGGCACGACGACCCGTTAGTTCTGCCGTCGCGAAAGGGTTAAAGAAATTATTTAAAGATGAATCTGTTTGTACAGGTAAAGAAAATCTCTTTTTCTGTCGATAGTTTTTTTTAACTTCTTTGCAGAGTACGAAAAGGGAAATTCAACAACTTGCATAACGTATTGTGTGATTCTGGTCGTTTAATCAAGACATATTATCATCTGAATATGAAGTTAATAACAAATGCTCAATGCAACGAGCGTTGGCTTCAATGCATAATTGGGGTCTTTTGATGAATCTTCTGACGACTTCTTTTATTTCCTGCAGATACTATGGCAACTGCATTTTGCTCAATTCTGACGATCTTTTATTTCGTCTTTTAACATTTATCTTACCGGTTTGTCGGAATTGTTTCGTTCCCTTCGAAATTGCACGAAGTAACGGATGAATACGAGATTAAAACTTTTATACGTATAAACATTTTTGGCTTTTACCGTAAACGAAAACAATATTTGCTTTATATTCGTTCTTGTTACCTCGTTCCAATAAACATTTTCGTTACTACTATTTATATAGTCCACGCCTAATTAACCCTTTCTTTATTAAGTTAACCTGGCATTTATCTGATATCGCGATGTAACAATTTAGTACCTATTTACGTGCCCCATTCTTTGTTTCACGATAAGTGGGTTTACCAAGGTGATACTAAGAAATAATTGTATAAGATAATTAATACGATAAGAGAAGAAAAAGCACAGGATTCGATAAATTTCCGTTTTTGCAACAGTTACTCGACAATTTCAATTTTTATGTGAGAAATGACGACAATTAACAGATTAGAATCGAACAAAAAAATCAGAAAGCGCCTTTAACACGTAATGTTCGATGCTTAAGTGCCGAACTGGTACGCGAGTTTAATCACACCTCGATTTATTCAGTGTGAAATGCTAAGAACTAGTTTTATTTGCAACAGACTATCAAAATACTAATTTTCGTAAGACCAACTGCTAAGACTTCCAAAAAAGGACGCGCTTCTGCCTCGTTTCCTTAGTTTTATCCGCTCGGGGCCAGTTGCTGATTGGTGGCCGATTTCTTCTTGGGGCTGTAGGTGCTGATTCCCCATTGGAGGAGGTTGTTTAGGTGGGACGCAGCTCCTTCCAAGGGAAGGGGATTGTTGCTTAACATTAGAAAACCCCCATTTTTGGGTTTTTCCCAGGGGTTGCCGCGTGACTTTCCACCGCGCACGTGACCTCTCCACGGGAGGTACGGTACGCGCGAGAGGACCGGTACCTCGGTCTGGCGGCCAAGTGTAATTGAACAAGTTTATGACGATAATCCGCCAGACCGAGGGTTCGTCGCGATTTCTTGCGAGGCAACACATGGTGTTAAGAGAAAAATTTTCAAAAATTCGAGAAAAAGTTAAAAGTTATCTGCGAAAAAATTGATATTCCTCATTTAGTAGTTACCTATGAAAAAAATTGCCAAACTTTATCTATTTGCAAACGCCACAGGATCGTGTATTTAAATCACGTCCCTTTAAATCATCTCGACAGCCACTCGGTCGACTTACGATACTTACGATACTTACAATAACGTCGCGAGCCGTCAAAATCAAACGTTCGACACCGCAAACCGCAAGATCTTAAACTTCTGACCCGAGCTCGACATCCTACAAACTTTCCCCAACAACTTCTCGACCCGAAAAGCTCCGCACTCACAGCAGAACCATTCAAAACCCATCAAACGTAACCTGACACAAACACATCTCCGATAACGCGTTCACACGAACAAGCCTCGACCCATTCATTCCACCCAGAACAGGTTCCCTCCGCGAGGCGCAAAATTACCCCGGGTAATTGATTCTTGCTACCCCGTACCCGCCAAGAATTTGTCACCACGAAACGCACCGGTGTGCAGGTGCGGCGCGTGTGCGCGCGTGATGAAGTCGACCGCGGTGTTACAAACGAGCCGCAGCGCGGTGATCCAGCCGAAAGGGGTTGATTTACGAAACAGGTGGCGCTGGGAAAAGCTGCTGGCTGGGGTAGTGGTCAGTCACGAGCTCGCGCGCGCGAGCACTTACAGTCGCCAAATTTACCCATGGTTGCGCGTCGATAACCCCGCGATTATCGATCAAATTTACGTATCCCTGAACAGTACACCTCTAAATTTCGAGCGTCCTCTACTTGCACAACGCAGACGGCACAAAAGACTACATACATCAATTTTATTTGGCGTATCTGAACTACCGAGGTGAACAGAGAGTACACGTTGTCATGGAACGCTTAGAAATATGGCTTATAAATTTTCAAGTCAGTTTTTCTTTTCTTGGCAAGGAGTGGAATTTTCGTGTAAGAAATTTTCGAACAGGTACCGTTTTGTCAACTTTTTAGTATTAGATAAGACACTTTGAAATGTGGCTTGCAATTTTTCCAATGAAATTTTCAAGTTAATAAAAACTATCACGTAACAAATCCGCGTTTTGTCAATTTTTCATATTTTCTTATGTCCGAGGTTCATATTTTTCCTCACGAATACTGTGTTCGGATCTCTTTAAATACACGCCATTTGAAATTAACCGATCTTACAGTTAAAGGAGACTGTAGAAAGTGAATTTTCAAAATTACTTCACTCTGTTCTATTCTTGGAATTCAGAGTAAAATATTCGTATACATGGCATATATCCGTAGGCATGGTAGTCTTATTGGTCAAAATTATTTTTTAGCGCGCGCTAAGTCAATTATTGCCTGAAAAACGTATAAATTTTAGCTGTGTGCATATTATTATTATTTTTTCCCCGTTTCTGCAGGCAAACGGTCCGCAGAGAGTTTGGAAGGTAGAAACGCCTTGGGTTGATAAGAATATCCGGGGGTTCGACCGCAAACAGTTGATATAAATAGTTGATAACATCACGATCGCGAATATAAACGAACATTTCGTCTTTTCTATGCTGACAGGTAAATCAACAGGACTAGTGACCACTACAAGGGTGACACACGCGACACCAGCCGCCCTTTACGCTCACACAGTCAGCCGTTACTGGGAAGACGACGGGAAGGTACCACTTGCTGCACGAACTTCCTGCAAGGACATCGCGCGTCAGCTGCTCGAGGATGAACCTGGTCGTAATATCGACGTACGGGATTATAATATTTCGGCTTAAATTCGGAAACTCTGGTCGTCGTTTGCCGGACGGTCCTGCGCGCTCTTTACGCTCGTTCGTGGTCGAATACGTGTGGAGATTTGCGACGGATCCCCCAGGTCGCCTCGAATCTATTCCACTGTCGCGATTCGACGTGATTCAACCGATCGAAGCAGCTCGAACTCGAACGAACATCTCCCGGAAATTTCTAGCGGCGGTGTTGGTCCTCTTCGTCAAAGGGAGGGACGAGTTTCAGAGGGGATGATAGGATGAGCGTGACGTGGAATCGTTTCCGGCTTGTCCAACGGTTAGAGTTCTTTCGGACCGCTGGGATTAAGGCTAGGTGGTCTTTAGGAAAAGTCTTAATTCTTTTCAGCGAGTCCTTCATAGTTGCGGAATTTTTTTTTGTCCGTGGAAAGATAAAGTATTTGGCTGGAATTGCAATTTTGTCGAACGTCCTGTGTGAGATGAACGTGATGTTTCTTTTTTGTTGTACACGCGTTTCACGATCTGGTTTGTACAATTTAACGGTAACTTCGTATTCTCTGAATTGAGCGTTGATTAACGTGGAATTTTTACTGGGTAGATTGTTCCGCGTTTCTAATAAACGATAATACATTTTCTTTATACGCAGGTTCTTTTTCGAATATTGTTTTACTAAAGGCACGAGTTGCTTTAAAGCGTCGAAATGTGTAAATTACGTTGCTACAATTTGTTCGTCGGAGGCAGGCCGATTAAAAAGAAGAAAAAATTAATTTCCCAGCGCATTCTTCGGCGCGAAAAACGGGCGGTCCGATTTTATTGCGATTGCATTGTCATTTCTATCGGGGGTAGAAATGGCACGCGGATCAAAAACACGAAAATTTTTTTAATATCTTGCATTATATCGGTTTAAAATCCTCCGACCGGAAATGTATGTTGGCAAACAATTTCGAGTATTCGATCGCCGGCGTGCAAATTGCTTTACGTTTCGCAATATTCGCGCGGCAAAAGAGGGAAAAGCTAAAAATCCGGAATTACAGCCGGTATCGTTCGCGGGAAAGAGATTTCGAAACCGACAAACGCGGACTTTTCTATCCGGCGATTTATCGACGGCGTTCTACACGGTGTCGTCGTTCGATGTAACATCGCTGTGGGGGGAAAATAAAAAAATAGGTCCGAAGAGGAGGACTTATCGAATCGAGCAACTGTGCGGCGCGGTACGTCGAGAAATTGATTTCTGCCTGGCAGAAAGCAACTTGCACGCCGTGAAATACTTCGCCACCTGTTCGTCTCCATAATGTACAAATCACGTCGTTCAATCTGGTAAAACCGAAATGTACCGAGCGTTCGTTCCGCGTTCTATTCGCTGAGGCTGATTTCTCGTGGACGAGATCGAGAGACTCGAGGAAGATTGTTACGACTCCCGTTGGTGGAAAATCAGTGACATTGATCAGAAGTGGCGGAAGATTTCGAAACGTTTCGTTTGATGGATTTGTGTAGTTAATTGTTGCAATTTTTGGTCATTTTACGAGATGAAGATTGGCACAGGCACGCTTGCAAAGTGTATCGAGATGTGTTCGATAGTAGGAAATTTATACTTTTTTAAGTTTGCTAGAAATGAATTTTTTCCGACTTTTTGGGACAGTTAAAGTTTTATTTAAAAAAAAGAAAGAAAGTATATCAAACATCGAAATAATTTCCATTACTGTGGATGACTTTTTTGCCATTTTTCTGGCAGCTTACGAACACCATCGCGATAGAAACTTGGTGGTTTTGAATCAATTATGTGAATGCAGTCGGAAAGAAATATTATTAAATTAAAAAAGGTAAAATTTAGTATGAAGATTGATGATGTGCTTTAAACAGAAAACTGAATCTGATATACTAGATACACCGTTTCAGAAAGGACATCAATTAAGAGTAGTCAAGAAAAGGAAATTTTCATGAAATTTTGATTTTTCACACGAATGAACATCATTCCTTCTCAATTTTTAAATCGATCGCGTGTATCAATAAAACATTTCCGAAAGGATAATCCTTCCGTTTCAGTAGATCCAAGAATAGATGCTACAAATTCATCGGTACTATCGCTATTTCATTTCGAAATCCATTTAAACGAAAAGCGATCGTCTCCACTTTGAATCACTTCAGACGTTCAATAGTTAACCGTGTCTCGCGCAAACTTCCGCTGACTTTTGTCTCGAAAGTTTCGTTTGCTCGTTAAAATCAAGTCTAAGATAAGTTTCTCATTCTGTCTGGTAATGGAAGTTTCGATCGTATCGAGCGGAGATCACGCGACGATCGATGGGGAACCGTGAGCGAAACCGAGTTTCCCCGCCGATATTCACGCGAACGCTGCATCGTCTCGGTTTAATCAGCGGAAGTTCGAATTTTCGGCGGGCCAATCGGTCCGAGTGGACCCCGATGACGTTTTCGTAGCGAAGTAACCGGGAGAAAAAAAGGCTCGTCCGGAGGAGCGCGTACCGCTTTTGCGCGGAATTTCAATGCGAAACTTTCTGCTTGTTAAAGTCTGCTTAGTCGGAGTACTCGAGAAGAGTTTGCTGGTCAGATAGAATAGGAATTAAAGGTCCACGGAGATTACTTTTCCCACGAATCGAACACTCCCCGATCCGTCTATGGGATAACATTTATTTATTTATTTTTTTTTTTTTTGCGAAATTCTCCATCGCACAGATTCTGCAATTTTTTCTATTTTTTAGTTAGCTTTTGGTATTCATACTTTCTAGGTTGTTGCTTGACATTTTTGTTTTTCTGTTTACTCGTTGGTGTCTTCGTTGTTTAGCTTGTTCTGTGGATGGATCGGGTTGGAATTAATTTGATAGGTTCATGAAGATAATGGACAGTAGATAGTATAGGAAATTAACCCTTTCGCTGCGGTAGATTTTCATGCGTAACATATGTGGCTGACGGCAAATGTTTCAACCACGGCCGCAAAATCTGTTATTTTGGCCGTATCATTTTAAATTTTCGGTTGTTAATCCTCTATGACACCGTGTAGTTATCTATTAGGAGTACAAATTAATTTAGTGCTCTTTTTTCATTAATTTTTACATTATTTCTTTATTT